CATATTCACGAATCCTGTCCATATTTATTTTTATTCTAGCCGTACTTCCGAAATTAATTACTTTAGCTTCTTAACGAAAAGTGCTATCATCCATTCCTGTGGATAAATTCTTGTGAAAGAAGTCAAGACGACTGGGAATGGAAATTTGTTGAAAAACCTTTAGAAATTCTCGACGCGAGGTGACGCAATTGCAGTTTGCCTTATCGGACCTCTGTTGACACACTAATGCCGAGGTGTCAACCTGAAGATCTCTCAGTGAGCACGAGCTTCGTTGCATGCAACAGCGCTCACTTTACATTTGAATACAAGTAACGATCGCTTGCATTCAATGACTCTTTGTCTAAATTAATCGACGGCCGTACAGGGCAACTTTACCAGTGATGTTACGAGCGAATTAACGGGACTTGCGATTCCAAAGAAAATCGTAACGATGCTATTATTCGACGTAAGATTTAAATTCACGCGTTGCGGTATAAATATTGGTGGAATAATAGCTGACCTTGTAATTTTAATAAGCTCTTGCGTAAATTAACCTACGATTCTTGAGACCTTTAGAGGCTCGTATACTTTTCAGCGTGATGATAGTAACGTTCTTTATAAAAAACATTAAACTTTAAATAACATGCGATATCGGAACCAGAAAAATGAAATCAGAACAAACTAGAAGAGAAGAAACTTAGAAAACAATTACAGTGCAAAGTGTTAAATAATCTGTAGATCGAGCACACCGGAGTGGCATGATCTATATATATATACAAGAGGTGAGAGTAATTTAATGGTATCCAATTTAAATCTATTAGCAACAAGCCGGAGCGGCAGAACTACTGGTATTAATAAATACATCGCTCGCTGTGTATGCCCTTGACACGATACGGTTTTCTCTCCGTTCCTCGGCACACAAAGCAACCTGCTAATTGCAAATAAATCATACGCTACGAAAAGTGAATTACCGTCGGTCGTAAATCTGCAATTTTATCTAGAACCAAATAGGAAAACACTCGATTGGTAATTGCACTCCACGCTATGTATCACGCTTTTTATTCCTTGGAGAATAGCGTAGAGTTAATCTCGTAACAGATTCACTTCAAGATTTACGATGAATCCGCGACGATGGCTTACGCGAGAAAGGCATCAATTCCCAATGATTGTTTTACCATTTCTATCTTCAAAGGAAGATTATATTCTATCAAATTTGTTACCGTTGGAAACTTCTGGTAAATCGTTGAAAGTCTCAACAATTCTTCCTGCATAGGAAGATAAAGGTCAAAGTCTCGTTTATTCGTTTACCATTGCAAGTCCTAAGTAAACTGTCGCAGGTACTAAGAATTACTTCTCCATTGACTTTGATCAAGGCTGGGATTTACACGGTACGAGAAAGCGCGAGAAATGTTAATCGGATGGAGAAAAAAAACTCAGCCAGGAACGAAATGAGAAACGATAATGAATCACAAATGATGAAAACTCCGATATCGGAATCCCCATTGTACCCGCACGCCTTTCATGCAGTCCTTTTTCCTCTCAATTCCCGCCCTTGTTTCCGTCTTTGGCTCCATCTTCAGCCGCCCTGGCGTTTCTCTAGTTGTGCCCTTGGCAGTTTCTTTGCGCCTCGCAGTTCCTTTCATCGGGTTTTCCCGCTTCCGTTCCTGTTTCATTTTCCTCTTGTCCGTTAGGTTCCTGAGGTTTCTCGAGCACTCTTTCTCGGCTCTTTTGTAATTTCACATGGTAAATAAGTAAGTAGCTCGAACAATGTAAACGCGTAGGGGACCGGAGGCTTGTCGCTTCTTCTCGATTACATCCTGTCGCGGTGTTTCAAACGGTTTCAGTCGTTAAAGTCCCGTCGGATGGAGCTATTAATTAGCGGGTGCCTCCGAACTGCAGCGGCAGACCGACGATCTTCGGAAGTAAACGTGAAAAAGAAATCACGCGTGTCGATGTGTGCGTTCTTCCAGAAACAGGTGAAATTTTTTGTTGGAATAGAATAGCAATTTCCTTGCTGCGTAATTGATTCGATGAATTCTTCTACCATTGCAAGTCTCTGGTAAATCGTTGCAAGTCTCAAAAATTCGTCCCGTATCGCAAGCCTTGGAGAAATCGATACAAGCCTCGCTTGTTCTTTTATCATTGCAAGTCCCTGGTAAATCGACGAGTCAACTACTTGTTCCAATTTTTATTTCTTCTATCTATCCATCGGTAGTTTCCAAATCTTAGGCAACCATATTTCGATGCGGCGAAATTATGTCGAATAGAATCCACTCCCAAGCATAACTCCCGCGGATAATTAGCATGTTTACGAGCGTGGAAACAGATATCTCGTCTACGGTTACCTTTACGCCTCGTTTCAGGCCGCGCGTACAAATGGACACGCATTATGTGCCGATGACGCGCCGTGCGCGCGTGTATTAACGTCGCGGGTTCTCTGTGCAACGATAACCGCGTGAACGGAGACACGATAAATCACTGTCCGCCGGCATCGAAGATTTTTCCACTTCCCGTCGACTCGCGAATCGCCGCGTTTCCAGGTGCATTATGCCAGTTGCTGACCGACCGTGTGTTATTTTGATCGTCGTAATAAATACTCGATTATCTAATCAACGCCATTGTCCACTCGCGGCTCTCGTATTTCTCTGTTTGCAACGATACAACTGTTTCGCGTACCGCGGTAAATAGACGATCGTTACCGTCGTTTCCCCCGTGAAAAATTTTACAACGCTGCAGAAACGCGGCCGACGATTCGTTGATAATAGAAGAATATACCGCGTAACGATGTCTTGTTAAAGAAGAGAATAAATCTCATTTTTAGTTAGTCTTAGGATTTGTTAACAGAACCTTGGAACGATGAACGAATTTCGGGGACTTGCAGTGGTAAAATAATTCGGGATATTTGTGCAAGCTTGGGATCGCGGAAAGAATTTTTGAGACTTGCAGTCATTTGCTAGGGACTTGTCACTGTGTAAGATGCAAGAATGGTATTCGTAATGGAACAACGAAATAGTCTACGTAACCGGCATATTTCTAATTATTATCGATTGGCATCGTTGATTAAAACTTTTTGCAATACCGTTTTCGGTTTCACCGAATATTTCTCCATTTATAAAATCGCGGGATGGTATTAAATAAAAAAAAAAAAAAAAAAAAAACCGAGAGGTAAATCACTCATGAAACGAAGCACGGTCGGACAGCCGCGTTAATTGTTTCTCTAATTATTCGTAACCGCTCGGTTTCTAAAATTGCAATCCAATCGACTATAAATTATCGCGCACACAACTATCCCTCCTTGTTTGTGACAGTTAATTTCCTGTTTTATTGGCGCATCGATCGGTGATTAAATTTCAGCCAACAACGTCGGGCACTTTTATGCGACGCAAGCTCTGGCTTCCTGCTTTCGTTAAATTCGAGCCATTTTATTACCGTAAATTCGCTAATCCTTTGTTTAATAACGCTACGGTTGAGAAACACAACAAATTATATCATTTAACTGGATATTTAATTCATGAAAGCTCCGGTGCTTTTGTCCTTTTTATTCTCATTTTATCCCGTATTTAATTCGCTATTATTATGGTACTATGATGACTGTTATTGTATAAATAATAAAATATACAAAATATAAATAATACCATTTATTAGAATTAAGTGAAAATATATCCGGTTTCAAGAATGGGGTAGATTAAATTTGAACAAGAGTGGAACGGGTATAAAATTTTTTTTAACGAACTCTCGTGACATCTAAGAAGAGAAAAAGGCTCGTATCGTACTCTGCGTCAACGTATAGCAAGAAAAACCGTCCCCCCAGCCCCGTACAAGCAAAGTAATTTGAATATAAAAGGGTTAAGTGTCCCATTGAACGTGCAGCGAATAATAAGTCCACTCGCTGGGACCCGAATATTTTCGCGAAACGAGATTACACTTTCAAGTATCGGAACCGTCGTACATTAAATTAATACTTTTTCCATTACCAAGAACCATTCGTACATCCATTATTCGATAATGTCATTCATAAATTAAATAGTATCGATATTCGAAAGCTCGATACATTTTCACTTAACTTCGATAAATAGTATTATTTATATTTCATAGAATCACGGTCCTCAAAGTATCTATAATAATAGCGAATTAAATACGGGATGAAATTATAATAAAAAGAACAAAATCAGCGAACGGAATATCTTTCGCCAAGACTATTCCGGCTTTACGCGAATTACGTTTCCTTTTTAAAATTGAGATATAAGAGATAATAAAAATCGGAAAGAATCGGAAATTCCCTTCGAAGGAATTTACAAGGAGAATCCGGCGAAAAAGGGACGTTTGGATTTACGGAAGAAAACTTTCCGGTTGAACGGTGTAACAGCCTTAGGAGCAGGGAACAATGGATATCGTCAGCGGTGATCCGATTTTGATACTCCGCGAAGGTTAAACTTCGGGGCCTCGCGATGAAATCGTTTCCCTTTTCCGCTATTGGCGTATCCAGTTCGATGACGATTTAATAAATTCTTTATGCGGCGTTACGGAGTCGAGCGATCGGCCACCGAGAGAAAGTCCCCAAGCGTAATCGAATCAGAATTTTATGACGCATCGCCCGTTCAATTGTGGCACGTATTGTGTATTCCGTGGTACGTTAAGTAATAAACACGAACGAATCGCTTGTCGCGCGGACCGATCGTCAAATAACGAGCGTTTAAAGCCAATAAAACTTCCAACGCGAGTTCTTTTTGACTTACGAAGAAATTATGTAACGAAATATTGATAAACATTGATAACGAGGGACACGTATCATTGGCCGTTTATCTCTTCGCCGAGTAATCCTATAAAACGATACCATTCTAAAATATACAGTGAGTCACAGAACTATTCGGTCAGTCGAAAATGTAAGAAAAACGAATGAAACAAGGATTTTCTCCAAAGAAAAATAATAAATTTCGGAACTTTTACACTCTTTACTGACTGATTAGTTTATTTATTTTTATTCATTATTTATTCATTATTTATTCCTTCCATTTTCTTCCGACGGAGTAATTTTGTGAGTCATTGTAAAAAATCAAATCGTGTCTCTAGTTCGTAATTTCTATTTTCAGAGCCGGAACGTTTCACGTGGAAGAAACAGGATTTCGTGTTACCGTCTTTGCTCCTTTTTGAAGAAGCTGAGGGAACCGAATCGCCCGAGTGTTTTATTACGCCGGATTTATTATTATTCGAGAACACGACCTTATTTCCGAGATGAATTCTATCTGTTCACCGTGTTCACTGAAATTTTTAACGCGACAATGAGTTAGGTTCCTCGACTTATCGAGCTTATGTAAAGTTGCCTGACCCATTTCGAGAACGGAGGGGAAACTAGAGAGATGTATCTTTTTGATACATCGAATTCACGTGTTGGCGAGAATTTAATCGTGTCTCGGCCATTGTTCTGTAACGAATCTGAGCGATGAAACTTTTTAATCGAAGGAAAGACGATTGTGTTAGATAAAAAAAAAAAAGAGAGAGAGAGGAGAAGAGGAGGAGAAATCTAATTCGTTTCCCTCCTTTCTCGTAAAATTCGATTTGCATACCCTTAGAATGCGTCTGTTTTACAGAAATGTCACCCATCGACGACTGCGATCGAGAGACGTCCGCCTGGGGCACTCTTGAACAAGAAACTCTACGAACCTGAAACAGAAAGAAAGGAAACTCGATTAATGGGACTTTTAACGAACAGAACCGATACATTTTTAAAGAAAACCTCGAAATCTAGCAAAACATCGGTTGAGATCCACTGTACGAGACATTGAATGTCTCTTGAGGGACGCCAAGTCCCAAACGACGCCAGAAAGAACGTGTCTCCATCGGTAAAAAGATTCAGCGTTCTTTGTAATGCTGTTTCTTGTTCTCCTTTGCTTCGAGTCTTGTTTGGTTACATTAAAAGAGTGAGCGAATATATTTTATTGCGGGGGAGTGGTTTCCGCGGCAAAAACGCTTCGAGGATATCGATCTGGCGAGCTGCTGCTCAAGGTAGTTCATTACGGAGTCCGGATTTAATTTTTAGAATACCGTCTCGCCGCGAGTTTCAATATTAAACAATCCCTGTTATTTTCTTTCGTTTGCTCGACACGGATACCCTTGGACGATCGATCGATCGGACGGAGAGTTTAATAATTCTTTCATATTCCTGTATCTTTAGATATTGTAATTCCGAAAATAGCTAAAGACGAATTTAAATAACAGAGAGATAAACCTAACCTAAGTAAACTGCTGCAAGTCTCGAAAATTCTTTCTGTAATATTAATCCTGTACAAAGAGCTACAGATATCGCTAATTCTTTTCTCATTGCAAGTCCTTAGTAAACTGCAGCAAGTCTCAACAATTCTTTCTG